GCTCTGTAGCTTGAATATCTAAAATGCTAGTACTGCCTCCTTTTTTTATTTCCTTAGCTGTAAATTTTCCTTTTTTTCTCTCAACTGTTTTCCATTTGCCCAGATCCTCGTTCAAATTTCCTATATTTTCCGAAACTCTAATCACTTCCTTGCTTGTACTGCTCATTGTATCTGTACGATGTATTGCCGCGTTCTTTATGGCCCCACAGTCAGCTACCTCCGTACGCGCAGTCTTATCCGCACTACCCACATTAACATTTTGTTGGACTATCTTCGCAAATGTAGGTTTTTGTGTTAATGAATTTTGCGAATGAGTCTCCTTTTCACACAAGTTATCATGTTTTAAACTCATTGATTTTAGACAGTTTTCTAGGTGTTCATTTTTAGTTATTAATACTTCAAGTTGTTGTTCTAGTACATCCACTTTTTTTGCCTTCTCTTGAACCACTTTTAAGCTTTCACGTATAGCATACAATTCAGATTCATTGCGGTACAATATTTTCTGCAATTCATTGTAGTCTTTGGCTTGTTTTTCAAAAAGGCAAATCATCTCAGATCGAAACTCACGGAACTCTGTCAATAGTAAATTATCATTGCACTCGGTATCAGATGTCATATCTAAATTAATCTGTGTAGTTTTACTTCCACGTACGGTATTGATGTTAGTAGACGGCGTAAAGGTCTTATTGAAACTCATTAAACTGCTTCGTACAGGCGTATCCGAGTTACCTGCTTTCGGGTTTGAACAGACACATTCTGGACAAATCCACTTGTCTTTTTCTTCTTGCGATAAACATTCAAACTTTTGTTGTGTAAATCCAATGCACTTTAAATCGTACAATTTCTTGCACGTCACTTTTGAGCACTCCATGAATAAAATATTAAAAATAACTGCCCCACAGCCATTACATTTAGTGACCATCACACTTTTTATTAGAAGTAATAATTAAAATCAGTAATTTTATTTAAAAAAAATATATAACCAGAAATAGAGACGAAATAAGGGCCATATATTCCTGGTAATAGATTAGCGATACAGCTCTTATAAATATCAACTCTCGTTTGCACTGAAATATAGACAGGCCAACTACTGACCTGTTTGTATGCCTCCGTATATTCCAAAAAATATTCTATATTTATTTTTAATAAAGATAATATATCTAACAATGCCGTGCTGTTCTATTCGGTGGTGTGGGAAAAACAACAAAACATCTAATTATAAAACAAACGGAATCACATTTCATCGGTAATTAAATATTAAATATGTAATTTTGCAAGTTTCGTTTCAAGTTAACTGGTCGATTTGAAGTGAAACAGTTGACGACCTGTCAATTATTTCGAACTCGGGCTAGCCAATCGGAGCGCAGTTGTCACAGTAATAACATGGCAGAATAGTTTTCAAACAAATTAAATGACATTTCGCATTGACTTACAAATAAATGGACGACGGGTCTAATACAAAAACCACGAAAAAAATGTCCCAAGTCAACCTATTCGAAATTTAAATTGTAATGTCATCGCAGTATCGCGCTGTCAGTAGAACAAATGAAGACTAAAGTGGAGTTTGGCGCTCTGTATACGATTTTAGCGCCTTACAAGTGCGGACACTTTTTAGCGCGGACCCGACGTCCATATAATTGTAAGTCAATGACATTTCGCCTCTATTTCTGGTTATATACTCGATGCTACCAAATTTCAACTCGGTACTAACGGTAGTTATTGAGAACAATAGCTGTATCGTTCAGATAGACATACGGACAGACAAACATAGAAGTTCCATCAAGGGTTTCCTTTTGTGCACAGAGCACTGAAAATATGAACAATGCGAGGATTTTACTGTATTTTATTAATGTAACATAACACAAAAAAACAGCTTTCTTTAGGGTTACCCTATTTAAAAATACGGTGATGGTTATATGACAAGCGAAACCGATTGTGCTTATCGTTTTGCAATCAATCTGTGTAAAGTGTGCTAGTGAAAATTTGATTGTTGCCGAAAAAATGATTGCCGCGCCATTTTGAAGTGCAAAATTTAAATTCGTTTTCTGGGTACAGAACGAAGAAGTTAGAAGTTTACATGTTAATGGTTAAGTGTTTATTAATAATAGAGCATAGTGAAGGACAACGCTCTTAAATGGAAGACAAAGAGGAAGAAGAAGAGACAGACAAAGAGATAGGTGTATCTAGTATCTGTAACAATACATTGTAAAACAAGTATTAAATAATATTAAAATGGCGTAATAGAAAGCGGCCTGGTTGTCTTTATGGGGAGTGCCTACAGTGCCTAAGTAACGTTTTTTAAGGTTTTCAAATCTTTTATCGATTTAGATCCGAAAATAATCTTTCATTTACAATATCCAGGATCGCGAAAATCTAAGTAACCGATAATTTTCACACTTACTCTGCTAATCGAATTGTTATTAAGTCTTCTGTGTCTGTACTTTGTTGTATCTATCTCATATCCGGAACACAGCAGTGAGTTCTACATAGTATGATCATCTCAGCAGCATAAAAAGTTATTCAAAGTCAAACTCAAAGTCAAAGATTATTTATTCCATAGGTAAAATAAATTTACACTTGAAAACGTCACATTTAAGCTACTGCTCGTTCACTACACTGACCTCCCTGAGAAGAACGAGCAAGAAACTCTAGGGATTGCTCTTTTCAAATAAACTTAAATACTATGGAATACTACTTTGAATCAAATTTGTGTGGATTCTGGAGCCATGTCGTCTTCCCATACATCTTTATCTAACACGTAGTCTTCAATTTTGTAATATGATTTTTCGATCAAAAATTTTTAATGTAGTTTTTAGACTTAGGAAATGATAAACTTAATATATGCTCCGGAATCTTATTGTAAAAACGTATAATACAGTTCCCCATAAAAGAGTTGTTTACCTTGATTAAACGAAATCGTGGTACCATGAGTTTGGACTTAGCTCTAAGGTTAATATTATGGATATCTTCTTTCTTATTTAAATTATGTATATTGTTACGGGCATATAAAATATTTGAGTAAATGTACTGTGATGCCACAGTCATAATACCAGTCTCCTTAAACTTTTCTCTGAGAGAAACCCGAGAGCCTAGACGGTACACAGAACGAATCGCTCGTTTTTGCAATACAAATATGGTTTGAATATCTGCCGCTTTACCCCACATGAGAATCTCGTACGACATTATACTATGGAATTAACTAAAGTAAACTAGTCTAGCAGTACTAACATCGGTAAGCTCACGTGTTCTGCGGACTGCGTATGCAGCGGAGCTTAATCTGCTGGCCAGGGACGATACATGTGGAAACCATTGAAGTTTACTATCTAAGGTCACTCCCAAGAAGACTGCTTTATTAACAAGGCTAATTTTTCTCCGTTTATTTCTATGCTTGGACTAGTCGATTTTACGTTAGGTAATTCAAATTTAACACATTTTGTCTTCTTGGCTTTTGTATTCGGAAGAATGAATAAAATAAAATTCATAAACAAAAATTAAAGTACCAATATCGTGTTCAGTAATACGGTGATAAAGACCTTGTCTATTTTGTCACGTGTACGTAGTATTGATCAAAAGCGGTGCGGCTTCGCTGATTGATTTTAACCAACGTACGTTATGGTTAGGAGTTGCTGACCACGGCTCAATATTGACTTTCAATGCTACGAGGGGCGTTCAATATATTCTCGGTATAGGTATGAAATAATAGGCAAAAAATTCTAAATAAAATTTATTTTTCAATATAGTCTCCCATAGCCTCAATACACTTATTTGATCGGGCAAATAACTTTTCGATGCCCTCTGAAAAATATTTTTCCTCTTTGCCTGAAAAATGTTCATTAATTGCCTCCTTCAACTCTTCATCGTCGGAAAAATGCTTACCCCGAAGATCTTTCTTTAGGTTTGGGAACAAAAAGTAATCACAGGGGCCAGGTCAGGGCTGTAGGGTGGATGAGTGATTTCTTCAAATCCACAATCCCTCACAGCAGCCTTGGCAACGCGCCCTGTGTGAACCGGCGCGTTGTCGTGAAGAAGCAAGACACCAGCGGTCAATTTTTCAAGTCTTTTTTCCTTTATAGCGTCCTTCGAATTACGTAGGCTGTTTGCGTAAGCTGCAGCAGTAATACTTTGTGTATTCGGCCCATTTTTGTGTATTCGATCAGTAAAATTCCCTTAAAATCCCAAAACACTGTGGCCATGAGTTTTCCGGCGGATGGGCAGACTTTAAACTTCTTCGGTGGGTCTGTTCCTTTTTTATGCCACTGCATGGACTCTTATTTACTCTCAGGATCATAGTGATGAATCCACGTTTCATCACCGGTGACAATGCGTTCAAAAATTCCACTCGGATTTTCGCTACAGAGCTCCAAAAACCCCTTACTCCACTCAACTCGAACTTGTTTCTGAAGCGGCGTGAGCATTCGCGGCACCCATCTTGCACTGACTTTTGAAAGATTCAGATGTTCATGAAGGATAGCTTAGTCTTTTCTGCTAATGTTTTCACTCTGATACGGGCATCTTCCAATACAAGTTTCTCGACAATTTTGACGTTTTCTTCAGAAGTGGCACTTACCGGCCCTCCAGCACGGGGGTCGTCTTCAATATTCTCTCTACCCCGTTTAAATTCACTAAACCACTTCTGAATAGTAGATAATGAAGGAGCAGAATCTTGATAAACAGCCACCATTTCTTCATGAATAACTTTTTGAGTCTTTCCTTGTTTTGTAAGGAATTTAATCACTGCGCGGTGCTCGATTTTCGTCAACATTGTGGCGTCTGTCATTATAGTTGTCTTCTCGTATTGATAACTTAAATACTAATGATGACAATTACATGAAATTTTATATTTATACCCTTAAAGAGTGTCTTTAACTAATGAGGTAATTAATTTACTCTTAACATTAGTTAATCACCCCGATACCGAGAATACATTGAACGCCCTAGTATAAGAAACGAAAGCTGTGCGGTTTGTAAAATAAATCTAGAAACCTTTAGAAAATACTTACAACAAGTCGATCTTGACTACCGGGGTACGTAGGTCCAAAATCGTACGTCTGCACTGATCTGCGGTCTGCAGAACCGACTAGAGGCCACAGTCTTAACACTTCTGCAAAATCAAATAAATAACTCTATAGCCTCGCTCATCGTTTCATGCATGTCAATATCCAGTGATATAAAGCAAATGTAGAAAAAAAACAACCTCTCTTTTTAAAACTTGTGGGGTTTTTCCCATGATCTTTTAATGAAATATAAGTACGAAATTTATTTTGTTATCTTGCCATGAGTTTCTTATACAAAATAGTAACTTACCACTCGTACACATTTCCAAATATTCCAACTCCTGTACAACTTCATACAGATCAACATCTTCACCGCCAGGCATTGTATCTATTTCCTGCTGCAGTCTCTGCTGAGCTTCAGGGTTAGCAGCCATTTCGTAAAGAAAGTAGTTAATGAGGTTCGCCGTCGTGTCGTAGCCTGCTACGTAGAATAACACTGCTTGCGCTACTAAGTCATCGTCTGTGAATTCTGGAGAATAATGATAGTATATGTATTTCAATCTAATTTTCATTTATAACAAATGGACACAAAAGACACAAACCAAAATTGAAGAAAAATATCTTGCAAAATTGAGAAAGTATTTGTTGACCATAATATCTTTAGAACTCATTGACCTAGCAATGCTAACTTTACTGCTTTAGTATTATATATTTGAATCCTAGTGAAGGCATATTCGAGATCGAGGCCTTTTCCACGAATTGGATTTCTACATGAAAGGAAAAGTGTCTTAATTAAGCGCATTAAAATTTTGAACTTCTGCATGATAGGAAAGCTCGTACCATGCAGAAATACAAATTCTTCTCTCGTATTCCTGAATCTTAATAATTGTTTACTTCAAATCCGGGATAAAGGTTACTTTTGATTGTACCTTACGTATTGCGTGTTTCTTGAATATTTTGGATTTATAATTATGTAGGAAATGAAACTATTGTCCGGATTTAAATCACGTATATTTGTTTTTCAAACAAACCGATGTTTCGGGCCCTTTACAGGTCCCATGGTCACAGTTGACTGGGTTGTTTATAATTATGTTTTATTTGTCGGTTTTGTTATTTATGGATGGGACCCATTTGAGTGCTTGTTTTATTATTTATTATTGTTACCTTTTGTATGAAGTTCGGTTTATGTATCGTTTAAAATTAGTAATCGTAAAAACTTAATTTTCTTAAAGACGTATGTATGTAGTCTCTAAGTCGTGATGTATCAATGTGGTGGACCATGGCGCATTACTTTTCTCATAGCAGATTCCAAAAGACCATTAATCAGACGAAGGATATGGGTTGTTACAGCGCAATCAAGTATGTCTTAATACGAACATTTTCATGAAGTTATAAAGTTAATTTAAAATGGCTCTGTCAAACATATGTAATTAAATTCACAGGAATTTTGTGTTGTGTGTTTAAGTACAAATACGGTAACATAGTTCACTTTTCCGTGCAAACTTTTGTGATACATAGAAAACATGGCTATGGTAGACAAGAATATAAATTGTTATTTATTGTTTTACAAATTCTGTTGAATATTTATCCCGCTAAAGTCAAAAAGCAATCTTTAACCAAAGATTATTTATATTATCTTTCTATTGATGAGACGTTATCTAGTGTGACAGGGAAATTTGATAATCTGTTTAATAAAGCTTTAAACACATCACCTTACGTGGACTTCAACTTACTCTCAGTACATTTGTCCTGATTGCTATTGATGTCCAGTTCCATCTCTTGTTTTAACTTTCCTGAAACAGTGAAATTAATAATTTTGTAGATTGCGTCAATTATGTAGATGTATTCAGGTCATATCTGATTTAGCTCGTTGATTGCATGTGTAGTAGTTACATTATGTATAAATATATAGTGCAGGAAAAGAGAAGCTTATTATAGGCAATGAAAACCTATTAAGCAGAAGATATTTGGCCATGATTCTCTACCTTCTAATTTATCGTTCAATGTAGGTGGGTTAATATTATAGAAAAATATAGTATGGAGTGATTGTTGTCATGATATTAACATTTTACATTTATTGGTCACGTATTTCATGTAACCAAATGTTGTCCGACAACGGACAAGCATAGCTGATTACCGCATTCGCAAAGCGAGGATTATGACTTACAATATACTTTACATCAAGTAGATATGTACACCAATGTTTGTCCAGTGTTTAGGGACTAGTTAATGACTGCAAAACATTTGTAAAATACTTACAATTAAAGACAATTATTAAGAACCAAAGGTAAAAGATGTTTGGGCATCTAATACGTCACGACAGTTTTCTCAGAAACATTGTAGAAGGAAAGAGAGCCAGATGAAGACTGAGGCAAGGTTATTTAGATCAGATAAGGGAAATACTTAATGTCGTGTTGTATCAGGAAACCAAAGTTAGTTGACCAGAGATGGTTGGTGATTGTTTCACCGACAGAGTAGTAGAGCAGCTTACACATACAATGGACGAGATAATTACCTTGAGCTGCATCGACTAAGGTCTGAATGAAGTCGGGTCGTGGTCCGGCCAAGTTTTCTCTGCGCGCGTTAAGTGCTGATTTGAATAATTGTGAAAATTGCTCGGCATGCTTGCGCTTTATTATTTTTACGTCGAGCATCTGAAATAAATTTACTTAGTTTATAAAATATTATAGTACCTTGTTTATCAAATATCACACTCCCAATAATAAAGTAACGAATCTTCAGTTCACCGAACGAAGAATCAGATCACCTGCTTCATTCCCAGTTAGTGTAGGGATCTGTGATAAAATGAATATTTAATATACTTCCACTTGCCCGATAGCCTTGAATTTTGGTATATTATGGAATCCCGATGACCTTACAATAATAATAATAATAATAATAAAATTTTATTTATTGAGACAACTGAGATCCAATCAAATGTTAGTAGGTACAGACTTAAAACTATATTAGTACTTATATTTTACTAGGGACTGTGTATTATGTATTAAGTGCCGCATAATTGTGCACTCATTCCTGTCAGCAACTGTCTTCAGGAGGCTATTGGGGCTGTCACGTATTCTCTTCAGTAGCGCCGCCGACTTTTTACGTACAACAGCCGTAAAGCTATCTACGCGCGCGTCAGTGAACATGGCTGAGGCACTGCAGAAACGTGACAGCCCCAACAGCGTCCTGAAGGCGTTGTCGTATTGCACGCACATTCCGAGAGCACTGTGTGTAACTCTTCCACAGAGCGCTAGTGTACATTGGTGTGCAGTAAGCTTGAAACAATGTTTTCTAATAATATGATAACCTTGATATGATGCTGCAACCAGGACAATCTGCAGACTACCCAACTCCTCAACTACTACAATAAAACTATCGTGTTAGGTCTCATTAAATTGAACGAGTTGTTAGCTTAGGAACGATGACTTTATTGACTTTCTGGAATATGAAGTAAGTTGATTGTTAATACCTCTACAAATTTCATTCCTATGCAATTATGACCGCATGGTGCATGCAAATTAACAGAATATAATCACAGTATTACAATATCTTTCCTATAATAATCTTGTAATTGCATGCAATAGCAATTAAGAATACGTATACACACCTTTAATACAGTCTTCATATTCTCATACCCAAAGAACTTCATGACTTGTGTGGTGTCCTGCACGACAGCTGTCTTCGCCAATTGAAAGATGCAGTTGTTGGGTTCCTTCAACGAGTTCACGGCAAATCCAAAAGCGCACGATGCTATGACGTCATTCACATAAGCTGTGGTTATCTGACAAATAACGCAAACAATTTATAATCTTCTTTTTAAAAGTGGAAATTAATCGGCTACTTTGGGATCTGCCATGTTTTCCTGCTACACTACTGATCCTCGTTCTTCATCGTCATGAATTCATTATATGTCTCACCGCTGGGCACAAAGATAGCCATGTAGCATTCTTGTACATCCAGATTTCAAGGATGATTTCCTTCACTGTTGTATGCGTCGCTATTAACATTAAAATCAATATGCCACCACAGGGATCCGAATCAACGATGTCTGAAATGTGGAGCAACAATCTCGCCTTAGATTACCACCGCCTTTATTGTGATCTCATTGCAAACACTAATTACCTCATTAACGTCCATTAGTAGTTCTCCCGAAACTTGCTCCTTTAAATGTTGAACGACGGCTTCAGCACTTTCTGCCATAAGCGGCGCCATGCTGCGGCACCGAGTCGCAGAGAACGCAGGAGAGAGAACCGTTCTCATAGATTTCCAGGTCGATCCTGTTACACAAGATGAAAGATATAGAAACATTTTTTACTGACTAGTCTAAGACTGTACTAATAGGTAGTCCAGTTATTCAGTGGTATGGCTTTTAATGTGATTAATGACTCACCTCTAAGCATGATAAGGTTCCGTCCAAACATAGGGTCGCAGTCGGTTCCGATGTGGACGCCTCTGTCAGAGAAGGCGTTAAAGTCCCGCACTATGATCTGCCGAATGAGTTCCGGATCCCGAGGTATTAGAGTTGGGACAAGATATTGATATAAACCGAAGTATCTGTTAGAAAATAACCACATTGTTATGAATCCATAATTATGTTACATTGCATTACCGAAAATTGTGGCCTAGGTTTCTTTAATACTCAGCCAAAACAACTTTATCTCAAACTAGAGAAATCCCTTCGCAGACCACCCAGACCAGAAGCAATTTAGTAAAGATCGTTTCCTAATTGGAATCGAATCGGAGGTCGTCAATATAATCTATAAAGGTAAAATTATGAACAGCAAATTTTATAACTTACTAAAGTTGAATCTTAACTAAGCACACAGACGTTTTCAAAGGTAATAAAAAAACAATAAAATTTCAGCAAAACAGTGGTAATTTATTTTTATTGTAATTTATGTTTGTTGTCTTAACATCTTAAATAAACTGGGTACGTACGTTACCGGCCCTTTTTACGCAAAAATGTTTACCTTTCATTTTTAAACTCATTATAACCATTCGCAATGGCTTCCACAAAATTTTCTTTTCCAAACGTGACAGCTGCTAAATTTCCCAGGAACGGGATTGGTGGTAGAGTGCGGACGCCCCGGGATGAAAAATATTGCAATTTCTTTCGTGAAATATAATACAGGCACGTCACTAAAAGCACTATTAACCATAACATTATCACAAATTGTATAAGACAATCTAAAAGTAGAACTTTGTGTGTTAAATGATGTGATTTGCTGTTAAAAGGGGCACACAGGAGCGCGGGGAGGATCAACGGGAACACATAGGTATGACTCAGGCTAGTGTAATCGGCTATCGGTTGTCACTGGTATAGTGGTACATATAGTTGTCCTATACGAAGGGTAACCACAGCCAACTCCACTCAATAAGTACAACACATCGTGAATATATCCACGGCGACACTATTAAACGGTACGCAGGTTGATGAAGCTCGATTAAGAGAAATATGTCTCAGTTATCATTAGCGTCCGACGCGGAGAATTGACCGCCAACTTCCGATTGGAGGCATTCAATGTCTAAAGTTAACTGTGGTCGCAGTCATGTGCCCGCGCCGGCGCGACAGGCCTCTGTAGGAGAAAGTCGTTGCATAACGTTAAACAGTTAGTATAGACTTAACGCAGAATCATACCTCCGAAGTTGACGAGAATACGTAAGAAAGTAGGTTAAGTGTGCACATGTGTGTTTAAAGTAAATGGAAGGCGATGTCTTAGAAAAAGCAAATCTTCCATCCAATTACACACTTAATCATTGTGGCCCTAAAACTTATCCAAGCTAATTACGCATTTCACCTCCTGATGGAAAGTGACGTTGAGGTCACGATGGAGCATGCACACGTAAATATATGATTATTGGCTCTCGCTTTGAAAATCCACAATATAAGGGTGTAACCCCAGCCTACGTCTAGTCTCCTGATAATGAAAAGGGAAGGGCGGAATTAAACCGCAATTCCCTTGCACACACTCCCTGAATCAAATCTTCCGCACTTCAATTCTAACGCACTCGCGTTAGGGCATGACGGGTGCGAAATGTGGATCATCGTTTGAATTGCACCAGACAAACAAAACAATCCGGGTTAGTACCATCCGATATACCCCACGTGAACAAATGAGCCTTACTCCCGCCGACCTGAGTGCTGAAAAAAAAAAAAGACTTGTGAAGTTAAAGCTTTAAAATGTCGACCACACCGTAGGAAAGTGGCTTGATTGTTGGTTTTCTATCGGATACATTTCGGGAGTGCTAGTGTGCCAAAGAACTTTTCAATTTAGTTCCACTCTCACGGTTCTCCTTTCGGTTGACTAGGAAGTCTGGAACATTCCGTCCTCATTATTTGCCACCTTGAAGCGCTTTGCTTCTTCTTTCCGATAAAATAGAATGGAATATACGGCGTCAGTTTGTGTGTTTCAAGGCTGTATGAGTATATTACAAACTTTTGATTTATATACTTTTTTAAACCAAAAAATTGTATTACGGAACTCCTTCTGTGACGTAATTTATCACTTCAAACTTTTTCAATAGAACTTCTTTACAATAACCTGAGATAATAATAAATCGGCCTATTCAATTTGGAAAAATAAATAAGTTTGAATTGTGTTATTTCGGTAAAATTTATAGCGACAACGTTTTAATACCCGTGTGTTTTCGCTTATGAAGGCCGGTTCATGTGACAAGAGTTAGGGCTAGTTCAGTAGACAAGTATCAAGAATGGTTCAGATAACAAGCCTTTAAGGTGGTTTCTCACCAGCCAGGCGAGACGATACGAGGCGAGACGAGAATTTAAATCTCGCCAGCCTATTTCTCGCCGGTGGATATTCATGTAATGTAATGTTAAATTTATTAATGAGTGTGTACCTAAATAAAGAAACATTTTATTTTTATTTTTTTATTATTTTTATTTCCACTAACAATGCCATTCATAGCTCGCGCAATGGCTGTACATAGTGAAGATTCAGTGCTGTTCGGTTCGTCTAGCGATAAAGACGCGGATGAAGTAACATGTCCCATAAATATTATTATTAAATATGTTAACGGAAGAAGAATTAAATGGAACCATTTTTTTCATATCTCACATCGTGCATACAATCTCGAGATTGATATTAATAGTCATCGCGAGCTCCCATGAGAAATCGTGTTTCCGTTGCAGAGTATAATGCTCTACGTAGGCAGCAACACGGTTCAATATTAGATCAACAAATATTTGAATTTTCGCCTCGCCCATCCTCGTCAATTCAGACCATTTCCACGAAGATGCGCTAGGAGAGAATTGAAATTTTGCTATACAAATTTCAATCCTCTTCTCGCCCGTCTCGTCTCGTCTTGCCAGTGGAAAAGCACCTTCAGACGCGCGTTCAGCGCGCTTATCGTTAACGTGCGCATACAACTATACTGATTTTATTCGCATGCCGTAGCGTGTTTAGCACGCGTTAAACGCTAGTCATACGTTCCTGCCATATCTGTTGATTAGTGATGTAACAAGTAAGGAAATATTTGAGGCTGCTTTCTTAACTTATCGTACGTTCCTAGATGAATTTACCTAATACGAAAATTCGCTTACGTCGCATCTCTAGCTATCATTGTTTGTATATAGTACGTTATGTCCTTTAAGTACATTGTGTACCACTTTGTAACATCGTTTACATTTTTCAAGTATATTCATGATAACATGTAAAGGCTGTGTCACTAGCAATAGCGGTAAAGTTGGAGCGAGCACATTGTAAACTTTCAATTACGTTACCATAAATCGAAGGCACTTATCGGGCGTTTTAGACCCGTGCCGCGGCATACTAATATCACTTGATCGTGTTTTAAAAGTTCGCCAAAGGAGACTGGACTTGTCTTATAGGAGTAAGCAAATATAGGTTCTTTTGCGTGTGAATATTAGTAGGCTTTATACGAGTTGATTATGAATTTGTAAAAGCTTTCGTGAAAAGCAAAATAAATGCAGTCTTTTTTCAAAAGCCAGGCCGGTTATTTTACTTATTTTATTTTTATGACAAATTTTAAAATAAAAAAAGAAAAATTGTTTCATTTCTTTATTAATTTGTTTTAATTCTTAATACAGGTTTGTCGAGTTTAATATATAAACATAAACTTTATTTACAAATGTTTATGTTTATATATTAAACTACAATTTATTTAATGTTTTACTGTTACAATTTTTTAATTTTCATATCCATTTTGGTTTATGATAAAGTGTAAAAAAAACTTTTTTAAATTTTTCAAATAAACTTTCAGTAAGACTTTACAGTGTTACTGTTTCAAGGAGTCGCTACATCTATCGATACAGGATCGCATTGACTCGGTCGGAAAAAAGCTTTAGGTCCGTGTAATAAGAGCGACGAAGAAGTTGCGTATTTCGTGTCGGCATCGGAGGGTTGTTCCCATCTAATCCTCTAAACTGATCCACTACCAATGTTAAATCCCAACAGATCCCCTTTATATTTTGCAACTCCCAACAGTCCCCTCATTGTATTTGGACGGTAATTACAGTCAAGAGAAAAAGAAGTTTTGATATCAAATACTCATTTATTGAGCAATTGGTGCATATAGGCGTGATGGTACCAAATGATTGACATTCTTAGGGAAGTGTCTTTAAATTTGACATAACTTTTTTGTTTTTAAACATATTATTATATCAATGGTAATTAGTTTACTTGACAGATACAGTCCTCAAGAAGGATAATACTGTAGTAGGTTTCATAAAACAGCTATTAAGTATAATTATTACTAAAAAAACCTATACTAGATTTCACTAAATGTCAACCAAAAATCCACTAATTAACTATCCAGTAATCGATATCAATAATGAACGCGCAGTAATTTACACTTACCATTAAGAAACGTGTTATTATGATAGAAATTTTGTGCTAAATCTTATTAGAAATGAATTTAGGAAAAGTAGTCGAATGGTGATCCTAGTCGATGACTGGTGCCACTACCGTACGATCTATTCCTGCCGCCAAGCAGTAATACTCTCATTAGTGTGTTCCGGTTTTGAAGGGTAAGAGTGCTGGTGCAATTACAGGTACATGCGACTTGTCAACTTACTTGTAGCAGTGCCCTTCAGATCTTTGCGATATAAAAAAGCTTTGAGTTGCACTGCAACTGTTATGGATAGGCGTGTCTCTTGCCACCAGGCGCACGACTTAACGTACGTAGGTTTTAATAAAATTTTAATAAATTAAATTATTATTAACTCTACTAGTCGCTCCTATAAGCGTTGCTTTAGACTAAAGCTGACCGAGTTTTTAGAAGAAAGCTTTTAACGCTCTTTTGTTGTGAAAATACTAATTGGTTTACATTTCGTCATCGTCACAATTTGTCGTTACACGGCTTAATTGGCAATGAGGTTTCATTTTTTTTTGGGATCACATTGAGCCACCGAGGAAGGCTCAGCGGTGACTGAGCATTCCACGGTTTGATTTCCCTTGGAAGTAACATAACACAGAATGGAAATTTCAAAAAGGAGGTTTGCTTAGCGAACTTAGTAATTATCTATGTTTACATGTATTACCTAATCCAAACACACAAAACTAAGTTTTAAGTCCTGTCCAATATAGTATAGTTTACAGGTTTAACAAGATACAGTAGGTTTCAGTCCGGGAAAAAATATCGAGTCTTGGTCCTGTCTCAAAATCCGGGGGAAAACGTGATTTTCGAAACTCGTAGGTTTCCATGGCTAGACAGTCAAAACTTGATATAAGTTTTTTAACAACTGAAATTGTAAAATGAAAAATTATTTATTAAAATTATGTTTTAATTTTTATAGTGTTAGCGAATCGTGACATTAATTTATTTTGTTACAAAATTATTTTGATTAATTAAGAATTATGATATAGTTATTAATATAAAGATCGAACACTTTAGAAAATTCCTTCGATCTGGTTGCATTCGAACCAATGCTACGTCTTCTAGCAAACCGCGCCAGATGCTATGCCAACTAAGCCACGGAACGAACTAGCGGACTTCACAAATTTTTCTATGTGCTTGTTGCAGATCTTTGTTTCTGGTTTTTAACGACTTTTTGCAGTAGCGCCATCTGTGAGAAATTATGAAAACGACACAGTCATCGGTTGCGGCAACCGGACACAGGACACAAAGTTTGCGCGGTAAAAGAATCAGACTTGAGAACGCACACAGAGGCGGCCGCGGAAGTGTTCCGGGCGTGGGAATTTTTGTAATATACGAGTTCATATGAACCCTGCCACACTGAAACGCGCGGTAGCGTGGCCGCCTCCGTGCGACCAGAGCATAAATGCTTCCTGCTGCCTTTAAATTCACTTTTGAACTTTGGAATGCTTCATTTCAGGTCTCATTAAGGCACATGATCGTGAAGGAGGACGCTTAGTCGCTCATTAAGACACCCTAGACACGTGGTAGGACAGTAAGTACTATTATTCAGCAGTGGGCGAGTGTATTATGAAGTGGTAATGGTGGTGAACAGGTTGTGGCGGCATATCGGCAGATATTTGTGCCACACCACTTAACCCCGCGCCTGCTGCGTCATAATGATTAAGTTGCCAAATCGAGTGGAAGCCGAATGATGGATGAAGCTGACGATAATTATGTTTTTAACTTTATGATCATAATATGTTGCGGTTAGTGGCTTACGAAAATAACTGTAGTACGTTTTTTAGCACAAATGGCCCGTGAAGATTCGACCTCAAAAGGCACCCTAAGAGACAGACAGAGTCTGAAGACGAAAGAACTATACTAACGAATACAAGTAGAGAGAGAGTCCATGCTATTATAAAGGATTCAATTGTTAGTAATATTTCATAAATTAATTAATAACGCACACACTCATAGCCTCGCACTAGGGAAACTCCGTGTCGCGGGTGCCTTGGACATA